TTGTAACTGCCTCTCTGTGACTCCCCCCCTCCCTGGATCCTTGCCCGCAGCTTGAGAAGCCTTATGGGTCCACATGTCAGAAAGGTGACCATCTCACCCTTCCGTTGCATCATGAAACTTAGTATCCCTTCATGTGAGCCCACCTTCAATAACTTTATTTTCAATTGTTGTAGGTAAAAGAATTTAGAGCTGACCTTGTGGATGTAGAAGGAATGAGGGAGTCATTGGGGGTGGGGGGAGGGCTTGTAGAAAATGTTACCCAGTCCAGAAAGAAATGTGAGAAATTCAGAATTATCTCACCTTGATTTTGCTTAGCGTAAGACAAGACAAAAAGAAACTTGGGCCAACTTCCATGGAATCCCTGTTATTCCTGTTTTTTGATCTGGCCTGTCTCAAAGGGGCCACTGTGTATTGGTCTAAAGACTTTAAACCCAGTTTAGGAAATATCCCAGGTTAAGGGAATACATTTCCAGCCCCTTTCAGATGTGGACGTCCATTTGGCTAGGGCACTTCCCAACAGATTGGAGAGCTAGGTGCACCAGCCCAAACCCAAAGTGGAGGTCGTTGTGATTTCCGCCTCCTTGTTAGCTGATCTTCTAGCGCAGGGCAAAAGCCACAGAGAAGGAAAGGAGAAGGGCCAGAATTAGAAGGCAGCCGTACTGAATCCATCTCTTGTATAGTTCCAGGAAGAAGGCAGGGCACAGAGAGCCTTTGGGGAGGCCTGAGAGTTACCCATTGAAGCTCTCTTTCCTCCAGGCCTGCCCTCAGCTTTTCTTCCCCTTGCCCTGTGCTTCGCATTCCCTTTTTGGGCTCTCCTTGAATAGAATTGGCCTCCGGCGGCTGGAGGTCTTGATCCAGCTGATCAAGACACTACACTGAGACTCGTCCTGACCCGGCCTAAATTTAAATGACCTCTGTTATCTGACAAAGGTCCTTTGGTTTCGAGTGATCTGTGACAAGTCCCTGCTTTATCTCTCTGGATCCAAACCCCTTTGCCCCGAGGGCTGCAACTGAGCTGGCATAGAGAGGAGAATAAAGAGTCCTGGTTTATGTAAAGGGCAGGGGGGCAGCAGCAGTTCTTCAGCATTGAGAAGCCCCCAACCGGACACGAAGAGGGCTCTGGCTGGAAAGACCAGCTTGGTGCCCATTGGCAGCGGGGCAACTGTTGGCCTCTGTGCGGTTGATGACCCGGCAGGTGACAACAGTTTAAAAGCAGTGGATCCTTGTGAAAATGCTTTCCCCCAGTTAGGGCACCATTTCTGCTTCAGGGTAAATATGAATCCTGGTTTTTTTTAATTTAACATTCTTAATATACATCATTAAAACAACATTAAAAAAAAGAATGAATAGGAACCAAAACAAAGAAGAAAAGCAGCAGCCCTAAACAAACACAAACCAAGAAAAGAAAGTCGGCCTTCTATTTTCTATTTCTCAATAGCCACCGGTTTACTAATGAATATACTACTGTAATGTAATCAGTACAAAATGTTATTGTAGAATATTACCTCTCTGCCACAGTAACACATATTGGTGCATTCTTCGGTTAGTCGAAAATACTGCCTTTTCCAGAACAGACAGATTGCATGTTTCCAACAACCATTCCTTAACATCTGGAATAATACCATATTCTAATTTCTCATTGTGATTCTTTTAGCTAACCCCTCCCTGTGCTCAATACAAGCATCGTTCCTGATAAACAGATTCCAAAGCTTTGGTATAGAGTTCAACATCACATCAGCCTCTTTAACATTTAAAGATTTTCCCATAAATCTATTTAGGTATATTAATATAGTACCCCAAAAGAATATCAGATGATCACATCATATGGGTCAGTGAACCCGTATGTTTTTTTTACATCTCCAACATGAAAAATCTGATGCCCATCCTTTTGGGTACATTCTTTGCCGAGTCTAGTATATGGTCAATACAATTTGAATTCTGTGTATTTAGAACCAGGGAGAAAAGTCATCTTGAACTTGCTTGTCACCGAGTGCCTGTTACCATCAATGCATTTCATCCTTCAGTGCCTGGAGCCACATCGCACGCATGGCTTCAGCTTTCGCCAAACTAAAGGTCTTCTGAGATGTTGGACTTCAATGCCCATAATACCTAGCTAGTTTGCCAGTCGATCTGCTCAGGGCTGGTCAGAGCAATTTTTTTTTAGTAGATCAGATTTCCATAGAATTCCTTTTCTCTGCCTGCTGTTGCTTTTTGTACATAATGAAGAAAAAAAAATACAATGGGCTTGCTTTTCAGTTGTAGGAGTTTAGACACAGACTCCACGTTTCAGAGAATACACTCTTCTTCTTCATGAATCAGAACCAGGAGGTCTCTTCTTTTCCAAATCTGCAGCAATTGGAGGACAAATTCATCACATTGTCCAGATGCACAGAGAGTGGAATGATAGCCGCCTGGCCCGGGGGAACCATCACTTCAGATCATTATGTCCTGAGCAGCTTAAATATATTTTGTCCCGGAAAAAAATACAACATCAAATGCTCAGGAGAGGTTTATTTGAAAAACAGTCACTTTTGGAAGGGGATGGGACAGCCAAGGGTCTTGAAAATGGCGTTTTCTCTTTTAAGGCACAAGGTTCTTCATCTTTTATTTTCACTTAATTGCTTCTGCAGGGGAAAAAAATGCTCTAAAAAAGCAGACAGCCCAATTCTGGGGAATTTGTTTGGTTTTGTTTACCTCCAGTGGGATTTGGAGAGATGCCTCTGAGAGCTCTGGAGAGAATTAACGAAAAGTCAAAAGGGCCTACCTTTGGGGTTGCTGTATGCTCTGGTAGAAAAACTCTGGGGGAATTGCAACCCCCACCCACTTTTTTGGGGTAGGGAAGGGGGTTTGCAGGCATCGTTACAGGACTGTAAGAGAATTAGGCCAAGAGGTGGCTCCTGGAGGAGGTGACCTCCTTGGTGGTGATCGCTCAATTGTGTGAGGTTCTTCCCAGGAAAACAGCTCCTGTGATGCTGTTCTCTGGTTCTACCAGAGCCCTCAACCAAACTGGAAGAAAACTGGAGTTTGTAATCCCAGCAGATCTGGAGAACTCCAAAGTATCCTGGATTAAGAAAAGACCACTCTCGCATGGGGTCTTTTCAGTGTCTTCATCTAAGTCTCTGCTGCTCATTTTACGTGGCTTCCTCCTTTCCTACACTGTCTGTATTTTAATTGGGTTTGATTTCTCAGTCTAGCGTGGTTTTAAATTCTGGGTAAGCCACCTTGGGAAATACTGCTCCTTCACACAACTTCTCAACCCTGCTTTTATTTATTTTTTATTTTTTTTAAAAGATGAAACATTTCCAAAACACTTTCTGGATGAGTAGCAGAAGCAGTTCAGGGCTATGCTTCTCCAGGTGTGTTTAAAACCATTCCATGAAATCTAAGGAATCTGGAGATCTTCAGGATTTCTTGCGCTGTTCAACATATTTCATGCTGCATTTCGTCAGACCACTTAGCTTTGCGTTGCTTTCTGTTGTGTACGCAGATGGATTGCGTTGTCTTATAGTGGGAGTATGTACTCTCTGACCTGGGAGTTGCATGCGCCCACACCCCCAACAAACCTTGAATACGGCTCTTAGAGACCCTCCCCCCCAAGGTTGTCACCAAATTTCAATTCATACGGTGACGGGGGGGGGGGGATGATTAAATCCATGAGGAATCCCGTTCCCCGTATTTCTTCTACTGACATGAACTCCAATTTAGCTTTTGCCCTCGGACTTTGCTCTTGGAATGTGCCCCCTCTTATGCCCGTCAGAGAACAAGGCATGCTTTGTCCCCAAAAATGATGACACCCCGCTGGGTGAGAAGCCTCGGTCTGTGCATTTTCTTCTCAGAGCTCCAAGGACTAAAATTTCATGCTCAGTTTGACCTTCTAGACACCGAGGTGCGAGCTTCCTGCTTGTTTCAAGCAGGCATCCCACGTCCAGTGGCACCACTTGGACAGCCCTTCTGGGTTCTGCCGTGATCTGGATTCAGATCCTGCTTGTATTAGCTGCTAGCGCTGACTGGCATAGTCTTCTAGAAGCCCGGTAGCATCTTTTTCGACTAACACCTTTTATTCAAAGGAAGTTGCTGCAGCTCACAAAAGCTTCTTCCTTTGAGTAAAATTTGTTAGTCGGAAAAAATGCTACCAGACTCCTGGTTTTGTTCGCCACCATAGACTGACACAGCCCCCGTCCTACAAGGTCCATTCCAAAAGGTAGTGCTTGTGTTGCAAATCCCGATGAAAAACCCCTTTCCTCCAACTCTACATTTTCCAGAAGCAGGCCCAGATATTTCATGGAGCAGCTCATCACCAAGGCATGAATTACGTTGGCCACCACTTGCCCTCACCGTTTCCTGTTGAATTATGTTCCATTATATTTGGCTCATGCTCAAGGTTGCTCACCATTCCTTGAACAGGTCAGATGAAAACCCAGCCCTTGTGTTCTCACAATAAATTCAGCTTGGTCAGGCTTAATGCCTTGTGTGGCTTACTGTATTGTGTGGAGCCAAAGCTTTTCATCAATCTTGAGTGTATTACATGAAACCGGAAAATGGGTTCTTCTGGTAAGCCATTCAGGCATATTGTGTGAATGTAGCCAGAATGTTTTGGCTGTGGTGTTGGGTTTTTTTTGCCTCCTGCAAGCATCAGTCACCTCTGTGCAAGGTTCATCTCTGTCCAAACCAGACTAAAGGTGTACCCCTGTCAGCCTGATTCTGGGCTCAGGCATGGTTTGTTTAATGCTGGTGTACTGACCAAGCCATAAGTTGTTGGGTTCACACAACTCTAGGACCAAACTAGCCATATTGTGAATGGTTCATGCATTGGGCTAAGCTGGAGTTGGTCTGTCGATCTCTTACTAAGCCAAATGTGGATGGGTTCAGCTGCCCTGCAAAGAGGAACCCGAGCAGACCTTATAGGGTCGTGTGGGACATGTACCAGCCTGGGTCTTCTTTTCTTAGCTGGTGAGAGAAGAGAAGTCAAGACCTCATTGCCTTTCTCCATCTATCTCCAGCTCTGCTCACCAGATGGCGATCCTGCACAGCGGCTGCCTTGGGTCCATCTATCACGGGACGGTCAAGTGTCCCCGCCCTGTTCTGCACTGGCTTTTCCAGGTAAGCAGGCCGCTTGCGTGCAAGCCAAGGGCAGGCCACTAGATGGCACCAGTGGCCAAGGCTTGGGTGGACAGGGCAGGCCTTCCAGAAGACCCATCTTGCTCCCAGTTCTGGTGCAGGGCTCAGGACCAGGGGTGCTAATCAATTAGCCTGATTAATCAGCTGAGACAGGAATCCCCAGTTTCAAGAAGCTACCGTGGACAACTGGCCAAGTCGCGAGCCTCGTGGAACAGGTTGCTTTACGCTGCAGAAGGCACCTTTGCTGGAGGGCAGGATAATGATCTGTGTGTGCCTGTGAATTGTGTTGCTCCCAAGTAGGCAGGACCTTACAAAAAGGATGTTCACCCCCGTGGATTTGCAGAACAAACACTGCATCTGTTGCCTTGGCCCCGGTTAACAAGCTGCCTGGGCAGAGGATTGTATGGTCACAGTTAAAAAATGCTTAAAGCTGATTAACAACCCCCACCCACCCCCAGGACTGGTAAACGGTTAGGACAGCGTTTCTCAACCTTGGCAACTTCAAGCTGTGTGGATTTCAGCTCCCAGAATTTCCCAGCCTGCATGCTTGAAGATGTGTGGACTTCAACTCCCAGAATTCCCTAGCCAGCCATGCTGGCTGGGGAATTCTGGGAGTTGAAGTACTTCAACTCCCAGAATTCCCCAGCCAGCATGGCTGGCTAGGGAATTCTGGGAGTTGAAGTCCACACATCTTGAAGTTGCCAAGGTTGAGAAACCTTGAATTAGGAAGTAACTCAAGCAGCTGCCCACATTTCTCCCAGGGCCCAGCAAGATGAGAAAAATCACCGTGTTTGATTACCTTTTGAGCAAAAACGATAATCTTATTGAGCTCTTCTGCCATAGGCCGTCTTAGATGCATGGCAACTCATCTCTCTTCAGAGGTGTATGCAGGGGGAGGTCAAAAAAGTCAAGATGGTACCTATGATGTATGATTGAAGCCCTGCTCTTTTTAAATCTGTGTCAGGGATGCTATGCTCATAAAAAGGGGTGAGACGTCGATCACAGAATCGCCAGCACCATCTTGACTTTTTTGACCCCCCCCCAGTACCCTGGGCTTTCTTCGCCTTCCCCTTGGCCAAGGATAATCACTCATTCACTCCCAGCTTTTTGGTTCCCTATATAATCAACAGAAATCTGGAAAATAAAGCTGTGTCTAAAATCTAAGATGGAAATTTTGTCAGAGACAGACAATGCCTTGTTGCAAAAAGCTTGACTTTATGAATTTCTGCTTCTGGGAGGCAGTTAAACACAAATATATATAGCAATTGAACACTCTCATTGCTTTGAGGAATTGAGAACATTGTGAGTTTGAAAACAGCTTTTGCAGGTTTTCAGGCATTGTCTGGTTTGCAATTCTGCAAAACTTAACAAGGGGTGGAGACAGACCTGTTCTTCCAAAATGGTGAGACTGCTTTGTTCAAAACGTAGGGTTTCCATTCAGAAAGCAGCTTGGGAAAAACATTTCACAAGTGTGACCCTGAAATGGGCTCACCCCATCACGTCATCGTCACCAAAAACCGCTGCTCCCCATTTCCTGAGACAATTTTGTACCTTTCAAAAAATCCTTTGGTTAATTATTAAGGTAGCACATATACGATCGTTCATGCAGCAGGTGAGCAATGAATCAAAAACGAGTTTGCGGATTAATTTTTAAAAGAGAGTTTGCGTGAAGCCTTTGAGAAGGCTCAGGAAGGATGATTACACCGGTGTTTAGTTTGCTGGCTGGTGCATCTGTCATTTCAGTTTCAAGAGAGAATGAGCTCACCCTGTGGTTGAGGGACACGGCCGTGAGCTCTCTGTCTTTTTTTCATTTCTTTCTCAAGAAACTGGATCCCTTTCAGTGGCTGTGGTTACGAGCACTCCGAACCACAGCCCATCCCAGTGTCATAGCTTGACTTATGTACGCTCAAGATTTAGTAGTCACCCTGGAGCTAATAGCTCTGAGGGCAAAGTGCCATCAAAACCCCCATGAAAGTCATGTAAATCAAATCAAAAACACAATAAACCAATTAAAGCCAAATTGTAAAAGAGCAGCAAATTAAAAGCAGCCGAGGTTAAAATAAGCAGCCCAACGGAATCTAAAAATATCAGAGATGAATTGACTTAAAAAGCAGATCATAGCAGCAGAAATGCAGGAAGGGCCACGATGATGAAAAAGCCTTTGTCTGACACCGTAGAGCGATCCAAGTAGGCTCACGGGGGAGAATGCTCCAGAGTCAGGGAAGAGGGGGCATCCTATTGGAGAGAGGGACCTACTCCCGAGGAACCATCGGCCACACCTCAGCAGGTTCAGAGCATCCTGAACAGGCCCTCTCACAGCAGCGTTAGGTTAGGAACAGGCAGGCCAAAGCTTCTTCAAATTCTGTAGCTCCAAAGCGGAAAGGCCTTTATTGGTTAAGGCTGCCATGTTGATCCTGGCTTTGTCACCGTCAAAGGTGTTTAGTTCTGCAAGCTGATTAAGTGACATTGGTCTTTCTCAGCCCAGTATACTGTAATGGTCTGTGGAAAAGACCTTGGGAGATGGGGGGAAGAGACGCTGCCAAGGGGACGGTCAGATAAGAGAGGGCATAGCCCGCAGCTGCATAGTGGGTGGGGCAAGAGGCTCAGAAGGGATCTTACCTAGTTTCTTGGGCTGTTGAGGAGATGGCGGGGGGGAAGAATTGTACTTTCAGACTTGCAAGATTCTGTTACTGTAGCCTTGCAATAAAGTAGAATTAGCTCATTTGGTTGTGATTCCTATCTGGTCTACCTAGTAAGGCTGATATATATCTCACAGAGTTGTGTAGGGGGAAGAATAAGAGGAAGGAGGGCTGATGTGCACTGCCTGTACCTCTTGATGGGAAGGCAGGATACATGTTTAACACATAAATAAATGGAAAGGGGCATTCTTGGTCTCAAACTATAGGCCAAGACTAGGATTTAGCTCATTTGGTTGTGATTCCTATCTGGTCTACCTAGTAAGGCTGATATATATCTCACAGAGTTGTGTAGGGGGAAGAATAAGAGGAAGGAGGGCTGATGTGCACTGCCTGTACCTCTTGATGGGAAGGCAGGATACATGTTTAACACATAAATAAATGGAAAGGGGCATTCTTGGTCTCAAACTATAGGCCAAGACTAGGATGAGCTGTGAGGAAAGGAAGGATCTGGTCCTGGTTTGGTCCAGCAGAGAAGACCAATATGGCAGTTTCCCTCACTGCTTTCTTCTTCATCTTCTGTTTCCAGTATGGATAAATGTGGCGGGTCTTAAAGGTGGAGATGTTCCCAAGGTGTGGTTTTGAGGACCTTTGATGAGCTTTTTCCAGCTCAGAACATGAGCTCGTTAGGAGAACTTTGTGGTAGCTCCTCCATCTAGTTCAGCTTCCAATTTTCAGCAGCAGCTAGCAAATGAATATCTCTCTGGAGGGAGAGTAAGCAGTAAAGCTGTGCACACTTCTAAAATGAGCAAGAAAAAATGTTTGCGATCTCACGTGAGCACAGTCTCTTTCTATTTCTCATTAAAGTAGCCACCTCTTTTTTCCCCCCAGGCTGCTTGATGCTTTTTAATGCAACTCTTAAAGCAGCTGCATTGTTTTTCACCTGAGCAGTTGATTCCCTTCAGCTGTGTTGATCCACAGCAGTTGGCAAACTTCTCCACAAGCTTTTCTAGTTGTCTTTTAAAGCCATTTAAAGCAGCTAAATGTGTTGGTGAATTCCTTAAGTTCCTTAACGAAATAGCCCCCCCACTTTTGACTGCTCCTTGGAGCCTAATATTTTGAGCAAAGTGGTACAGGACTCACTTTGGTCTTTCCAAAGGTCTTAAATTGGTTGGGGCTGGTGGGCACTCTAGGAATTTTGAAAGCCTGGCATCAGTATTCTCATAAAATGGCTGTTGGGGGAGGGGACTTGCCTATTGCAGAATGGTTCCAGGGGGGACCCAGCCCCATTTTCCAGATGGCAAGCTGTTGTGATGGTTCCCTGTTACCCCCTGACTCACCATGCCATCTGTCAGATTATCTTTGGTTTTTTTCCCCCCCTGATCAAGTAGGCACCTTTCCTAACAAGGTTCTGAATTGCAATTCTCCTTGTTTGTTTGTTTTTTAATTTTATTTTTTGTGGACCTCTCTGGAGCCTAAGTGAAAATAACGATGACGCTGGGAGCAGAGCGTTTGCTTTACGGCATGCCAGCTCCTAATTAAAAAAAGAGAGAAAGAGAGAGTAAATTCTCCTTCAAGTCAAGCTCAACTTTCTTGGCAGCAGTTCAGAAGTAGATTGCAAAAATAAAGGTTATTTATGATCCAGAAGGCGAGGGAGTCTGGGGGGCATCAAAGGAAACATTCAGGGGTGCCCCTGCCTACTCTGTCAAGTCCCCTCCCCTTTGGCCCCCCCCCCCCCCCCAAATTAGAAACAAATTCCAAACTTTTCAGCCTTTTCTCGTTGGAATGGGGCCTTCACAGTTGCAGAGCACCATTCTCCTGCTCCGTATCCAGCCATGTTTGATGTTTCATCCTTTCCAAGTAACTCGGTTGCTTTGGGTGCTACAGCAGAAGTAAAAGGGGGTGCTTTTTCTATTTTCCCTAGCCTCTTGGCACCCTCCCCCCAATCTAACTGGCTCCATTTCAGCTCTCCCTGGGACTTTTTTTAAAAATCTGTGCCACGCCTCCCTTTGTTTCTGTCTTGGGTTCCATCACATAAGTGTGAATTTGCAGAATGCTTTCCCTGCCTGCAACACTTTGCCAGCCCTTTTCCCTATGGGAATGTGGTCTCTTCCTTCTCTGAACATTGGGCACCCAACCATGCAGGAAGGCTGTGGCAATGAAGTGGCTCATTGGGGCAGGCACAAGTCAAGGGAGTCTTCTAAATGGAGAAACTGGTATTTCTGGGGAAATGCATCCTCATCAAACCAAGTTTTACCTCAATCCCTGAGTTACGTTTTTTTCTTTGCCAACAACACCTCCCTCTTGTCTCCATTTCATTTTGCAGCCCGTTGTTGAGATTAGACA